CAACTAAATATACACTAAGCACTCATAACATAAAACATTGAACATCAGCACAAACATGAACATGAGTCTGTGAGCAGATGTGCACGCATGAACACATCAACATTGAAACAGATCAGCAGCAACATGAAACAGATCAGCAGCAACATGATGGTTTAGGGTCCCGAGTCGGCTCCCCCACCTCTACCCCATCTCGGCCCCCCATATTATTGTATATCTCTAATTTAACATTTTGGAAACAGCAAAAAAATTCACCTAGGTAATTTTTTTGTCTTTAGCAAAAAAGAAATGACCTTCCCTCACCATTACTATCAGCTATAATTGTAATTTCTCTTACGAATTCTGCAAACATTAAACACTAGGTGGCGCTATAAATCTGAGGAGTTCACATCACAACATTTTTTAGATGAATTTGTACTAAAGCAGGGTAAGTTTTCCTCCGCAATATGATAATGATGGGTGAGTGGGTGTGGCTTATAAAAATATTTTTCTCCTTTCAAATTAAAAATATGTTACTAGAATGGTTGGAAAAAAAAGTAGGCATCTTGTCCAGATTGTTGTGGTTAACTCTGTCCAGTTTTGTTTGGTTGAATTATTAATGTACAGGAATATTTTACATTCAAGACACTTGTGTTTTCTAGGCCGTCATCTACAAGTTTGCTGTTATCTAGATCTCTTTTTTTTTGGGGGGGGGGGGGGGGGGCATGCCATACAGGGCTTAGACTTCCAATATACTTATTTGCAGCTGTAGTTCTCATATTAAACTGCACAAAACTATGATGTTTGTTTTTATATAAACTGTGCTCTATCAACAGTATACTGGTTGTATATGGAGCTTTGGTTATCAAAGTTTATGACCCACTGTGAGGATCTAATATTTGTGATTTACTCTCTGATGATCCTGTCTGCAACACACTCTTCATTCTGCAGCTTTTGAAGGTGAGGCAGAGTTTAAGGGGGAAAGCCAGTGCACAAATAACCTTAAATATGACAGTACTTGTCACCTGCTCTGTTATGGTACACTTCGCCTGAGTTGTAGCCATCGTGTGTAATTGCACAGACACACCTGGAAGATATACACACACGGGATTGCGGGTTAAGAAAGTAGGAGAACTCATTGCCCAGACAGGAACTTTCTATCAGAGCTCAGGCCAGCGGGCGGCTCCCTCTGCAGCACTTTATCAAGCCATCAGTCATACGCAGCGAACGCATGAACGGACAAGTGTGTGAGGCTCTGTGTGTGTGTGTGACTGAGACAAAAAGATATGGGAACTGTCACTGGGTGAAGGAAGAGGGCATCGGAGGGATGGGTGAGCAGGTGGAGGGGAAAGATGAAGACGAAGCAGGAACTGGGAATCAGCTGTGACAAACGATCAGGATATTTCTGTCCTTTAGTGCTGATGAATGGTGCCCTCAGCAGCAGGAGAATTAGGCTGCCGTGTATAGAATTAAATGAGAATGGCGGTAATTGACCTGTCGTCTTCCTGTAAAGTACTTTGCCTACTTAAAGTCCCTAACTTAGACTGAGAAACAATGAGCCCTAACCACAATATCCTGTTAATAAATGCAAGGAAGAAATGACAGGAAAGCAAAGAACTGAAGGAGAGAGAAACTTTGGGATAATATAGTGACGAGAGCTGTTCTTTTGCAGCAGAAATCAAAAAGAGAAAAAAGTTGCGTGTAGCTTAAAAGAAAGTGAATCAAAGAGAGTCTGAAGACGTCTAAAACGCAGCGCACTCACCGATGAACGCCGCTGTTGCACATGACGACGTGTGTGGCCCCCAGACGAGAGCAGAGCTCAGAAGCCACAGTGAGCAGCCCGACTCCAGAGGCCCCGCAGGCGGTGTTCTGACAGGCGGCGGTGCGGCGGCAGCTGATGAACCGCTCCATCAGACGGTAGAGCTCCTCCAGAGCGTTCAGGGGCCGAATTAACTGGACACAACCACAGGCAGAAACATTAGGGCCAGACACACAAATATTGGTGTTGAGAATGACTGGGGATTGTAAAGTAGAGATAGTTTAGTATTTAATCGATCAGTTTGGTTCTGTGTCCACACACTATTAAGGTTTTCATTGATACCTACCATAAAAATATCGAGTTATCTCTAAAGCTAAAAGTCACTCCTCTGAATCTCCTTACGTCTGACTTATTTCCACTCAGCTTGATGCATTTGCATTCTTGGATTTTCATACACTTGCATGCACACACGCAGCATCATCAGATGTTGGGTTTTTTTTTGTTGCAAATATTGTAATTGTGGAATAGGGCTGAACAATTAATTGCATTTGCAATAATATCGCGATATGTCAAAACGAGATTTTCTAATCGCAAAGGCTGCGATTTGACTGGTCACGGGATCTGGTTACGGGATCTGGTTACGGGATCTGGTCACGGGATCTGGTTACGTGACTCGCGAGTGAATGGAAGCGGAGCAAAGCAGAGCAGGAAGCGGGTGAAGTCAACACTGCGCTTTAACCAGATGCACAATGGTGTCAGGCTTGACAGAAGCTGATACATGTGAAAGTTTGGTACCAAAGAGTAGCAGCAAGTCTGTTGTTTGGAATTATTTTGTCTATAAAAAAGACGACATTGTGCAACGGCATGTATTGTGCAGAACCTACAGTACCTTGCTGCTGTTGCTACCTCTAAAAGTAGCACAGCAAATCTTTATCAACACTTAAAAAACATCACAAAGCCATTTACGATAGTTGCATGGCTAGAATGCCAACGACCAGTGCTTCAACTTAAAGTAAGCAAAGTACCAGCCGACAGGGATCATTGAGTAAACAATGGATAAGCGGTACAGAACGCCCTTGAACACACATTTTAGCCAAGTTGCTATCCTGGAGCTATACAAAAAAAGAAATGCAGAAACAGAGTTGCAGCAAAGCTAAAAACCGTGGAGTTTTTTGCAACTGCAAGTTGACTTAGATTGACTTATTGACATTGAAAAATAATCACAAACTAAATCGCAATATTGAGGTAAAAAAAATTGTAATTAGAATATTTTCCAAAATCGTTCAGCCCTACTGTGGAAAGAAGGTGTTTGTTCTTACCTTATCTATTAGGGCAGCTTTGGGAGCAGCGCTGGGCGGTACATTGGACTGATCAAGAAAAAAAGCCCTGAGAGGGAGAAGACATTTCATTTTAGCAGTAATGAAAACCGGCTTTTTGTACAGCGTGAGACAAAACCATGTGTACTGAACATGCAGCTGTGAATCTATTAATATGGGACTTTTTTTTTATACTTGTGTTTGATTTTACAGAAGGGTGGGAGTGAATTTTAAAACAATAACATTTCTCTGCATCATTAGGTCATCACATTGGTTGCCTCGCTGGAAAAAAGTAGGCCAGCTGCTTATTATGGAGCCCCAGCCTCTGACTATCAATCATGAGAGTAACTTAGGCACAGCGAGGCAGAACCACAGACTAAGCATCTCTCGTCCTGGGCATTGCTCCAAATGCCAATGCTTCATTCATTCACGGAGTACAATCGGGGTTTTGTGGTGTTTTTGTCTTCCTCCACAGGAGGCAGCACCACTCTGGCGTCTGTGTGCAGAAACTGCTGTACGGTCTGCCGCAATGAGTCCATCTGAGGCTGAGTGCTGCTGGTGCAAACTCAGCACTCTGCGACTCCATCAAATCTCAGCATTCTAACAGGGAGCTAAAAATAGGAATGCTACACCACATTAAAGCTCTTCTACTAAAATCACCTACTCCATTACAACTCGCAAGAGGCAGAATCAAAGTGTAACATGCAACTACTTTGTCCACATTTCTTATTTAACAGGTTCAATAAAAGGAAGGCATTTGAAGATATGCAGCTGGAATGAAGATTGTGTATAAGAATCAGCGGCGCACATCTCATTCATCTGCATCGATTCTGCTCTGAAGTGATTAAATCAGAGGGAGAGGCATTAATTATGAATGTGGTAATTCTTCCAGACATAATAATGAAACCTATTAATTAAAGCAGAGCTAACATATCCCTGACTCAAGATGTTGTAACGACACCCGGCTTAAAGGAAATAAATAATTGTTACCGTATATTAATTACAAAATTAAATTATACCATGAGGAATATGCCTGCACCTACAGAACTTATTACGCCCCAGAGAAACTGGCTAATGAGAGCATGAGTCTAAAGAGTGAAGAGATTTATCTAAGCTTCCACCTATATTCACTTCTGAGCCACTGATGAGGAGTTTAAACATTTAATGCATTCACTTGTGGCAGTTTTTCCAGGTATTTGATCCCCGTCTGCCAAATTATGTATTAACCTTGTAGCCCGCTTCGCAAAATGACAATAAGCAGAGTTTGGTAAAGGTTCAGATGGAGTTAATAGCCCTTGTAATTGATTCAAGATGGCTTATCATTCAAGAGGTCCTCAGAATGAGTGGAGGTTACACAGTCACAGCAGGGAGAATGCACACCTAAACACAACTGGGAACATGTTAGAAACACACAAGACAAGCTGTCAATTATGGGTTATTTTATTAATTTATTTCGTTGGACTGTTTATAGAAAGTTATGTTTGTACAACTGTTGCATCTGCTTATAAGACTGTCTGTAGCAGCGCCTCAGACTGACAAAGTCTTTTGGATAAAAGATGAACGTTGCAACAAAGAATCCCTCCAGAGGACCTGATTCAACCTTGTTAGATTTATCTACCTGGATTACTGAGCATACATCAGAGTATTTTGTAAAATGTCATATTTTCAGAAGTTTTGTTTCTTCTGGACTCTGGCTGAACTCCATTTCTTCCCTTTGCTTTGCCTTTTAGTCTTTTGCCTAAATTTTGTGCGTCCATGCTGCCGAGGGGGAAAGTGTCCCAATCCTTTTTGTGATGTAAAAAAGTGTGAAGGGACTTCTGAACCAGTCAAAAATTTATATTTTTCAGGGTCCCACTTTCAAATATGAGCTGTGCTAACAAAATAAAATACTAAAACATGTTATATTAGGCATAAAAACTACTGTATACTATTTATGTATTTCAGTAAGTTAATCTTACTTTTATTGTATTTACGTTCTAAAAATGGGTTGCTTTATACCAAAGTCTATTGTAGGCTGATAACTGCACACCATATAAGGAGGGCACAATGGATTTCAGTTGTTCATTTTGTTTATTAACCTTTATTTAATCAGGCAAATCCCATTAAAATCTTAGATCTCTTGTGCAAGGGAGGCCTAGGCCTGAAATGGGTCTAAACATACATGTTTTTGACAATCTGTTTACGAAAAAGGAATCAGGGACAAATGATGTGTCAACTTCCTAATTTCTAAAATTAAATTTGCATCTTTGAAATAAAGGCCATGGGGTTATGTCTAAAGCCTGTGTCAATCTCAAGGCCCGCGGGCAATATGTGGCCCACCACACCATTTTATGTGGCCCACGGGAGCTTAAAAAATTGATGGTCTTAAAGTAAGCATATACTACAAGCCTGCACTAACCATAAACTACATCTCCTATAATGCATAAACATTACTTTACCCACAAAATGACAGCATCCCTCCACTAGGTGAAGGTGTATCCTGCGTGATTCATTTCTGTAGTAAATTGAAGGCATTTTACCCCACTTATTTATGTTATATTCTGAATAAATTTACTGTTGATTAAAATGTCCAGGAAGTGAAAAATTGATGCAGATGGAAAACAGTTTCAGGACAGATGGGAAGCTGAATATTTATTTGTGCTTCAAGGAGAAAGTCTGGTATGAGTTGTGTGTCGCGAGGCAGTGTCAGTCATCACTGGGTACAATCTATGTTAGCATTTTGACACCAAACACTAAGCACTGATATTTATTATTATATAATGGATGAGGATGTGTATGAGATGGTGTCACAGGGTGAGAAGGGATTTGGTGTGTTCAGTGACAGGCAGCATCACTTTACCATCCATCCATCCATTATCTTTACTCATTTATTCCATTTTGGGTCACGGGGGTCGCAGGTGCCCATGTCCAGCAATCACTGTGCGAGGGGCGGGGTACACCCTGGACAGGTCACAAGTCCATCACAGGGCCACATAAAGACAAACGAGACAAACAACCATTCACTCTCTCACTCACACCTAGGGACAATTTAGAGTCACCAATCAGCCTAACATGCATGTTTTTGGTCTGTGGGAGGAAACCGGAGTACCCGGAGAAAACCCACGCATGCACGGAGAGAACATGCAAACTCCACCCAGAAGGCACCTGGACCGGGGTTTTGAACCAGGGACCTGTTTGCTGAGAGGCAGCAACTCTACCAGTTGCGCCACCGTGCTGCCCGCATCACTTTACCAACTTCACCAAAAACTGGACCAAACAGATGATCCTTGTTTTGTTATTTTGAGTCCGTCCGTCCGTCCGTCCATCCATCCATTTTCCGCTTATCCAGGGTTGGGTCACGGGGGTAGCAGCTTAAGTAGGGAGGCCCAAACTTCCCTCTCCCCAGCCATTTGAGTCAGCTCCTCCGGGGGAATACCAAGGCGTTTCCAGGCCAGCTGAGAAACATAGTCCCTCCAGCGTGTCCTGGGTCTTCCTCTGGGTCTCCTCCCGGTGGGACGTGTCTGGAACACCTCACCAGGGAGGCGCCCAGGAGGCATCCTAACCAGATGCCCGAGCCACCTCAACTGGCTCCTCTCGACGTGGAGAAGCAGCGGCTCTACTCTGAGTCCCTCCCGGATGACCGAGCTTCTCACCCTATCTCTAAGGGAGAGCCCAGACACACTGCGGAGAAAACTCATTTTGTCCGCTTGTATCCGAGATCTCGTTCTTTCGGTCACAACCCAAAGCTCATGACCATAGATGAGGGCAGGAACGTAGATCGACCGCTAAATTGAGAGCTTCACCTTTTGACTCAACTCTCTTTTTACCACGACAGACCGGTACAGCGCCCGCTTCACTGCAGACTGACTACAGACTATCTGCCTATCGATCTCTCGCTCCAGTTTTCTTTCATTTGTGAACAAGACCCCAAGATACTTAAACGCCTCTACTTTGGGGCTGGACCTCCTCCCCGATCCGGAGACGGCACTCTACCCTTTTCCAGCTCAAGACCATATTTTGAGTCAACTACATATGTTACTTTGTATATGTATCAATTTTTTCACTGTATTAACATGTTTATGTGTTTATGTAGGCAAATGTGCTCTGTAATCAAACCATCTTATTAGTTGGATGTAGGCCTGTCACGAGAACAAATTTTACTGCGCGATTGTCTCAGAAATTATTGCAATAAACGATAATATTGTTAGAAATTTGACAATAATTAGTAATTATAATTATAATTACAATAATTAGTACTTAATGTCAAATTTAAGAAGAAAGTTTTTTTTCCATCTTATCTTATTTTGTTTTGCATGTAGTACCTTTTTTGACCACCAGATGTTAGTATAAGACTGTTTGAACCAAAGGATGGATACTGAGGGAGCAAGCAGCGTGTCTCTTTAAGTAAAATGTGAGGGAGGAGCTTTGGAGCCATGACAAAACTGAGGTTTTTCCCCAAGGTCGGTCTGTTAGCTTAGCTTCTCAGCTTAGCTGCTTTTAATGATCCAAAACCATAATTTTGGACAGTTAAAACAGATTTTAAAGACAAAAGAGAAAGGGAGGGGTCAGTGAAGAGCACCGGAGTTGAGCCGTGTCTTCAGTAGAAAGAGAGAGAAACGAAGAAACGAAAAAGCCGATAAATGAAAATGAGGTCAAAAATTTTCATTCATCATGCGATTAATTGTTTTATTGTTTATTGCGACAGGCCTAGTTGGATGCAAGTTATGTCCTCTGCCAGGCTGTGTGCAGACATGTTTTTCATAAAATACTATATTTATTTGCTACGTGTCCTTAGTAGCTCACAACTGATGGTTGTAACAAACTGTAGTTCTTCTTTCAACTGTGACAAAATAATTAAATAAATAAAATGGGAACAATGCCGTAACTTGAGTTAGTGATATTTTTATATGTTATTTAATAGTTTGATCATTGATTGGAGCAATGTGGATAGTCTCAGCTAACGGAAACATAGCCTTTCTGTGTGGAACCTGTGTGTTCCCTCTTTGTGTTCCCTCTTTAACCAAACTGAAGGAATGAGGACTTAAGAAACTAAATTTATGAAAAACCAACAACAGCCCCTGGAAGAGTTCC